GAGTCACTGGGTTCTAGGCTGGAGAAAGAGGCCTGCAAGATGTCTCAGGGGCTCTGCCGCCTTCCCCAGGAGCGGTGTCCCTCTGGCGAGACGCCACCCCTGCCCTCACAGCTACCCAGTACATGACCCCTGCGTCCAGCCTGTCCCTGAGAAACTGACTTCCTCACCTCCCTCAGCCTCCTCCCTCATCAAATATTTGTCTGTGACATAATCAAGGATCAAACCGGTTTGGTCCGGGAAGTATTTGTGCAGTGCAGGAAACGCGGGCAGGGTGAAGGGGCCTGGGCTTGCCGACCAAGCTCCTCGCTCTGAGCCTCGGTTTACCTTCTGCAAAGAGTGGAGGTCACGTCAGGGGCTGAGTGAGGCTCCTCGTCCTCCTTCAGTTTCCTGCTCCTGCTGAGGCCTCCACCAGCTCCCAGTGTCCCAGGCAGCCGTGGCAGGGACCCTGAACCACACGGCTGGAGCTCCTCACTCTGCAGCCCCCTCACTGCCTCACCGTGCACATCCGCCTCTCACACCAGCGGCCACATGGGCCTCAAAAGGGCAAACCTGACAGTGTATCTCCCAGCTGAAAACCCTCCAGACCACTGACCTGGCACAACGGGATCACCTGGGAGGCACTGAAAGGGGCAGCCCTGCCCGGGTGTGGCCCAGCAAGAGCCAGTTCTTAAAATCACCCAGGAGCTCAAATGTGTGGCTGGCACTGTCACGTTCAGAATGACAGGATCAAGCCCCCGTGGGGCCGGCCTGGGGGGCCTTCCCTGGTGGTGCCTTCCTCCCCCTCCAGCCCATCTCCACCCTGGACCCCCACTGCCCATCCTAACTTCTTGATTTCCTAGAGAGCGGTTCTTTGTGCCTTGTTCCTCACTGTCCCGCCTCCCACTCCACCCCACTGCGCTCTTCAAGTGCCCTTCCCGGGCCTGGGTCCGCCCCCCCAGCACAGGCCCCCCCCCACCCCCGTCTTGGCCTCTCTGCTTCTCCCCTCCCCAGTCGCCTCTCCCTCCCCACCCTCCTCCAAGCACAAGGCACCATCTGTGGCTAGTGACCCCGACGCCAGGGTCCCAGCCTCGCTGATCATGCATGCCCCAGCCCAACGAAGGGACTGGGAGGCTCAGATCAACTTACAGCCCCCACTTGCTTGGGCCAGTGCTAGACCTGGGGCCAAACTTGAGGGGCCTTCTGTGGCATCTGCTGGACACAGACGTCCGGAGAAGGCCTCATCTGGTCCAGATTCCAGAGGACGGAGGAGTCACTTCCCGAGCTGTTTCCAAGACACTCAGGACAGGCTGGGCAGGCTGAGCCTTACCTGCCCCACCGCTTAACTTGTGTTTTCCTGAAACCTCCTGACCCCCACCTGAAACCTGCCTGCCCATACCCCTGGTGAGAGCAAGGCCTTGTCAAAACAGGGCCATATCCTGGCCCTCCCGGGGTTGACTACTGGGTCCCTTCCTGTCAGCAGTTGCCCTTTAACCCGGTTAACATGTAGAAGCTTGTGGTTTGAGCTCGCTCTTCATCTGGCCTCTTTTTTTTTTCTTTGAGACAGAGTCTCACTGTCCCCCAGGCTGGAGTGCAGTGACATGATCTCGGCTCACTGCAACCTCTACTTCCCAGGCTCAAGCTATCCTCCTGCCTCGGTCTCCCCAGTAGCTGGGATTACAGATGTGTGCCACCATGCCTGGCTAAATTTTGCACTTTTAGTAGAGACAGGGGTTTGCCTGTTGGCCAGAGTGGTCTTGAACTCCTGACCTCAAGTGACCTGCCTGCCTCAGCCTCCAAAAGTACTGGGATTACAGGTGTGAGCCACTGTGTCCAGCCTTATCTGGCCTCTTAATGCTAAGCATGAGAGGAGTCCAGTGCTCAGATGCCTGGGTCAGCCTGACTGGCAGCGCCAGGTGATCAACTGGGAGCTTGTGGGGGAAGGCAGGACCCTCCTCAGGCGCACAGCCCCAGGGGAGGCCAACCGGTTTCTCCGCTCCTGCCCTGTGTGGGAACACCAGCTGTTAGATGTTTGCAGGGGAGCTTAAGCTGAGGGCGTTTTGGCTGAGTGCACAAGAACTTTCCTTTCCCAAATCTGCCCTGTTCTAAAGGCCATCCTGGGGGCAGCGGGAGCCACCTTCCCAGCTCCCACGCTGCTGCAGTCACCACAGAATGACATAATCTGCCCAGAGGCTGAGCTCACAGCCCTCCTGGCTTGCCAATGCTTCATGTCACCCCAGGACCCCATAGCTCTTGCTGCTGTAAAGAAGACCCCAGGGCGCCCAAGTCTGAAGGGTGGGAAGAAAAAAGACCCCAACCTGGTCAGGGACAAAAAGGTTTTTTTGCATGATACAATTCACAATCTCCTTCTGGGAAGAAACCAGTGTTCTAGATAAACGCCATTTCGTTAAATTTTGAATAGAGTGACGACAGGGGAGTAGCTCCCTCCCCGACACGGCACCCGCAGCTGACAAACATCAGGCTCCCAGAGGTCCCGGCCCAGGTGCTCTTGTGTGTGCGTCTAGCAACGTGAGCCAACCACTTGGACTGTAATCTCTGCAAAGATCTTTGTAGAGAGGGAGGCCTCTTGAGGGTGAGCGCACTTTGACTTCTGTACCACATTTAAAATCATCACTTTGAAAAAGCACATGTTCATAACTAAATGTTCTGAAAGCATTCTTTTCCCACACAGAGGTGGGAGACGCAGGTGTGAGGGTGCCTGTGTGGACCCGCCCTGCAGAGCAACTCCCCCAAGGTGATAGTCACCACCCTTACAGCAATGTTCCTGAATAAAGTCGGAATAATCTTCCCTTTAACCAGTCCTCTGACTCAGAGGTCTGAGTAGAACCCTTCCTTGGAAAATGCGGCCCCACTCTTGAGAAGTGTCCCGAGGGGGCTTGTCCTCAGAGTTACCCAGTGAGTTACCCCAGCAGGGGCAGCCTGGGTGGTTTGATGCCACTCCAGCAGCCTGAACGGGTTGGGGGGGGGCAAGCAGTTTCCACCTGATGTCCTGATCCTTCCTCCCACAGTGGTGACAGATTAAAGTGAATGGCCGGGCGCGGTGGAGCGCCCCTGTAGTCCCAGCTACTAGAGAGGCTGAGGTGAGAGGATCACTTGAGCCCAGGAATTGGAGGCTGCAGTGAGCCGTGATTAAGCCACTGCACTCCAGCCTGGGTGACAAAGCAAGACGCTGTCTCTAAAAATAAATAAATGAGGTTGGGTGCAGTGGCTTATGCCTGTGATCCCAGCACTTTGGGAGGCCAAGGTGGGCAGATCACTTGAGCTCAAGAGTTTGAGACCAGCCTGGCCAACACGGTGAAACCCCATTTCTACTAAAAATACGAAAATTAGCCGGGCGTGGTGTGCACGCCTGTAATCCCAGCTATTCAAGAGGGTGAGGCAAGATAATCACTTGAACCAGGAGGCAGAGGTTGCAGTGAGCCAAGATTGTGCCACTGCACTCCAGCCTGGGCGATAGAGTGAAACTCTGTCTCAAAATATAAATAAATAAATAATTTAAAACAGAGTGATGACCAGACTGGCCAACATGGTAAAAAACCCATCTCTACTAAAAATACAAAAAAAAAAAAAAATAGCCTGGTATGGTGGCATACGCCTGTCACAGCTACTTGGGAGGCTGAGGCCAGAGAATCGCTTGAACCTGGGAGGCAGAAATTGCAATGAGCCAAGGTCACGCCACTGCACTCCAGCCTGGGCAACAGAGCAAGACTTTGTCTCAAATGTATATATATGTGTAAAACACAGTGTATGCCCTGCCTGAGGAGCACTGCCTCTGAGGCAGGGAGCCTCCTTCTCTTCCCCGCTCCCCTGGCGGAGGTGATAGGATGATGATCTGTCCTGTGCAACCTTATCCCAAGAGGGAACTGCCCAGCTCAGGCGTGAGCGGAACAGACCTGTCCCTGCTCCCAAAGGGTTACCAGTGCGGCCATGCTGAGCCTCCACTGCAGGACACCCGGACAGAGGCAATGTGTCCTGAGAAAGCTAGCTCTTGTAAGGCTGATGGCCCCCATCTGTGTTGAGCCACAGCCGGCGGGGGCAGTCCCGGGGCAGCCCATGAGCTGGTGGTGGCTGTGTCGGGAGAGGTTAGGCACTTGCTGGAGGCTGACACTCTGGAAGATCTCTACCGAGAGAGAGCCTGTGAGCGTGGGTCTGCTTTGACTGGCAGGATGTGAACACAGGCCCCTGCCTCCATGCTCTCCAGGGCTCTCTCAGCTTCCCAGAGGCACAGACCCTCTGAGTGCCTCCGCTATAGAGATGGGGAGGGATTCGAACGTGCCTGAGACCTGAGTCCCTGACTGTCCAGAGGTCCCGGGAGCCTTTGTGCTGTCTAAGCCCCGCGGCTGCTCTGGGTTTGGCAAGTGCCGAGGCTCAGAAACAACACCCCAACGTGGATGCCTCAGAAGCAAAACTTTCTCCAGCCCCTCCTCCCTGAGAGGCTTCCCCAAGATGGGTCATAGAAACCAGAACCTCTTGTCCCCAGACCCAGCCATAAAACCCAGAACTACGACTCCAGTCTCCACCCCCTCCCCTTTCTGCATAGAAACCAGCCGTAAAGAAACACTCTGGGCTGCTTTATCTGACTGCAGGTCACAAGACCTCAATTCCAGAGAGGGTCCTGGCCACACCTAGAAGGAAGGAAAGCTGCTGGGAGGCGCAGAGGAATCTGTCCCGACAGGCCGGGCCGGGCTCTCCTCCTGGTCTGCACGGGTCGACCTGACTTTCGTGTGCGATCATATTTCCATGCTGTGTTCGTGTTTGTAACCATGGACGGTTTCCCCCAGATCCTTGGGTCTTCATCCTAAGGCTGCCATGCCACATAAGCTACGATCAGATACGTCTCTGGTGCTTTTCTCCTCTGAATCTGCCTTTCGCCCACTGATTTTCAGCCAGCTCCCAGAGGATGAAGGGGAGCTTTCTGTCCGGCTCCACAAGGGAGGAGTGAGGAGACTGAGGTGGAAACTGAGCCGCTGAAGGACACAGGGTATTCCGAGAAAGGGCGGCGGGAGCAGAACCGGGTTCACACACATGCCCAGCAGGAATTCACTCAGACATCTCCTCGTGCCTGCAGGCTGAGTGCCAGCACCCTCTGATACCAACACACAGGGCCACAGGGTCACCACTCACTCCACACACACTCACCCTGTGCCCACTTACCGAGGGAGGGCCAGGAAGGAGGACACCACTGTGACTCACTGATGGCCTCAAGACACAGGGGAGCACTGTAAAATGCCGGAGGCGGCCCACACCCTGGGTCATGGCTGGGGGAAGGGTTCCAGAAAGGGCATCACAGCGATGCATTTCATCAGAACCAAGCACACGCATGCGGAGGGGCAGGCCTGCCTGAATGTTCCAGCCCCGCTGTCCCACCCTCTGTGTCAATATGAGGCCGCCTTATAAAGCACCAAGAGGCCACCAGGGGGACATTTCTCAGCCCTGCCAGCCCCTGGAAGGAAGGTGGGTCTGAACCTGGCACCATGACGGAACTGGAGACAGCCATGGGCATGATCATAGATGTCTTTTCCCGCTATTCGAGCAGCGAGGGCAGCACGCAGACCCTGACCAAGGTGGAGCTCAAGGCGCTGATGGAGAAGGAGCTCCCCGGCTTCCTGCAGGTGAGCCCAGGTGGGCAGCGCAGGACTCAGTGGGGGCTGGGGGGAAGCGGAAGGCATGGCAGGCAGAGGGCAGACAGCTGCAATGGGGTCGGCGGCAAAGGGGGCAGATCCTGAAGGACCCTAGATGCCCAGCCAAGGAACCAATCCACCTTGGCATCAAGGCGGGGGACACCGGAGCATCTGAGCAGGGAGAGGGTGTGGTCAGCTTGATCCTTGAAACATGGAGTTGACTCCAGTGTATTAGTAACAGGCCTGGTGGAAGAGTGGGACTCAAACCTGTGGTGGAGGCGGGGGAGGAATGCAATCCAGGGCTGTCCCTGAGGCCAAGTCCTCCAAGGCTGCTGGCTACGCCCCAGCCCCACCTCCCACTTGCCACCTTCCCTGCTCCCATTCCCAGGCCCCGTGTTGCCGGGTATTAGTGGGAGCGGCAGGAAGGACAGGAGGAGGCTCCATCCTGGCGCCTGTCTGCACAGAGCTGGGGGCCTCCCTCGGGCTCCCTGCCAGGGAGGAGCCACTGGCCTGAGCCTCACAGAAGGCCCCTCAGGGAGGCTGGGACCAGCTTCCTTCCACCGCCCAGGGCAGCCTCCGGCCGGGCCAAACAGAGGCCCTCCCCTCTCCGTCTCCGCCTCTTCTCTTTGACCCCCATCCTCTACTTCTTTCTCACTCCCCCACTTTCTTCCTTCCTTACCCTCCCCTTCGGGCCCCACCAGACTCTGCCTACCTGCCCTCTAAGAGGCTGACCCACATGGATGCTGATAATCGAAAATGAGAGCTTCAAAGACACAAAGCACTTCAGAACATTGTTTTTTGTTTGTTTTGTTTGTTTTTGAGTTGAGGTATCACTCTGTCACCCAGGCTGGAGTGCAGTGGCAGGATCACAGCTTGCTGCAGCCTTGACCTTCCTGGGCTCAGGTGATCCTCCCACCTCAGCCTCCCGAGCAGCTGGGACTACAGGTGCATGTCACCATGCCCAGTTAATTTTTGTATTTTTTCTAGAGACGAGATCTCACCATGTTGCCCAGGCTGGTCTCGAACTCCTGGGCTCAAGCAATGCATCCACCTTGGCATCTCAAAGTGCTGTGATTATAGGCATGAGCCCCAATGCCTGGCCTAGTATTTTCTAAATGTAAATGCTGTAAAGATATCTTTTAAAAATAAAGTTCTGTTTGTGGTAGAAAATGTAAAAACAGGTAAGTACGGAGGGAAGAAATCCCTCCTGGAATACAGACGCTTCCTCTCCCTTTTAGCCTTTTCCCCATGTGAGTGGGGTTTATATGCAATTTAATTTCTTTTTGAACTTAACTTACAACATCGATTCCCAAACTCTGATGTTCATTGAACACCTCAGCCCCAGGCTGGGAACTCTGGCACGGGGCTCGGGGTGCTCTGATAATGATCAAGGTTTTAGAACTGAACCCAGGACTTTGATCCAAGACACTGGGGTGTGGGGAGGGGCAGGTGCAGGTGTCCTGGGAACACACTTTGAGAAGCAACGTCTGAGCCGGGGATCCTCAAACCTGTGTCACATTACAATTACCTAGGGGAGGCCCTGGGTGCTCGTCTCAGCCCTTTGCTGAAGCCCAGCAGAGCTGGAGTCCAAGAACAATGTCCACCTGCGGGTAGGGCTGGGCCAGCCTTGTGGCTCTATCTGCTCCAGGCCCAGCCCAGCGCCCGCACAGTCGGACAAGGTGACTGGCTACAGACTTCGTAAACATCACTTGAAATGGCTGCAGGGTATTGTGACGTGGCCATACCACTGTTTGTTTGCTACTGAATTTGTACTTCCCTGCCTTGCTTTTTCGATTACAAACCATGCTGTCGTGAAGGTCCTCACGTACACAGCTGTGTCTTGCTCAGACCTGGACACACGGCTCTCTGGCCCAGGGCTGGGTCGTCAGCACCCCCTGCTGCTGCTGTGCAGATCTGCATCCTGGCCCCACTTGGTCCCATAGTGAGGACGCTTTGCCATCAAATGGGCAGGCTCTCAGAGAGCCCTGCTGGCCTGGCCTTCTCAAAGAAGACCTGAGAGGCTGGGACCCCAAGCCAGGGTGCCCAAGCAGAGAAGAATAGAGGGCCTCTGTGCTCGCTCCACACGTGGGGCTCACCCCTGGCTTTCCCTGTCTCCCTGTGTGACCTCGGGGCAGGTCCCTTGGGCCCTCTGGGACCTATCATCTCCATCCATAACAGGGCAATGCCTCTGCCTTGCCTGGGGGTTGTGAGGAGTTCGTGTTTGTGTAAGCAGCTAGTTCAGTGTCAGCACAAGATCGGATGCCCATGGAGTTAGCAGTGCACAAAAAAATAGAGCAGAGAGTGGACGCATTTCCTGAGAACAACCATCACTGTAAAGCACATTACAAATCCAAAGACAAACCCCTGCAAAAATTCAAAACAAAACCCCCTCCCGCATAGCACAACGCAATTCAAATTTGGTCTAAAAGCATCACAAGTTAGTTCATGTCATGCCAGATCGGTCAAGGCAGCTCACAACTTCTCAAGGCCAGGAATGCCATGTGTCTGGTATGCACAGCTGGCCCTGGCCCTGCATGACAGCAAAGGTGGCACAGATGCGGGTGCCCTCCTCCTGCCCAGCAGCAGTGCTTGCTGGAGGCTGAGGCCCTGCACAGACGCTGTCGCCGCTGACCTTGGGCCTCTCTCTCCTCTAGAGTGGAAGGGACAAGGATGCTGTGGATAAACTCCTCAGGGACCTGGATGCCAACGGAGATGCCCAGGTGGACTTCAGCGAGTTCATCGTGTTCGTGGCTGCAATCACGTCTGCCTGTCACAAGTACTTTGAAAAGGCAGGACTCAAATGATGCCCTGGAGATGCAGCTTCCTGGCAGAGGCATGGTCCCAGGCTTCCCAAAAGCATTTGTTGGCAATTACTCCCCTCAGCGGAGCCTGCTTGTGTCCCTCTGATTAATAAATGCTCATAAAATGATCCTGTTCTCAGAGAAACTGGCTACTTCCTTAAAACCTCAGTGTCTTCTCCCCACAAAACAGAATTCACTAATTAAGTTTGTCATTTCATTACTCGATGCCTGCCTAGAGTGGTGAGACAGATGAAGAAGACAGGGCAGTTGATAAGAATCCATTTGTTGGCCATCTTCTGAGTGCCCACTGAGACACAGTCCCACCTCGGTCGTGTGAATGCCACCATGTCGCGGACCTGAGGGAGGCTCAGGTATGCACATCCATGCATTCATCTGCCTAGTGATTCAGTCAGTCAGCAGCCACTCACTGAACCTGGGCCCCTCGTCTCTCCAAACAGCATGTTTTTTCAAGTAACGTACTTTATTTATTTATTTATTTATTTATTTATTTTTGAGCCAGAGTCTCACTCTTGTCACCCAGGCTGGAGGGCAATGGTGCAATCTCGGCTCACTGCAAGCTCCATCTCCTGGGTTCAAGTGATTCTCCTGCCTCAGCTTCCCAAGTACCTGGGATTACAGGTGCATGCCACCACGCCCAGCTAATTTTTGTATTTTCAGTAGAGATGAGGTTTTATCATGTTGGCCAGGCTGGTCTCAAACTCCTGATCTCAGGTGATCTGCCCACCTCGGCCTCCCAAAGTGCTGGGATTACAGGCGTGAGCCACCACACCCAGCCAATTACATACTTTTAATGATACAACACTATTTTTGCCACAAAGACCAGGAAACACTGTAATGGAGAAAAAATGAATGACAAGAGAGCATCAGAACCATCAGTGAACCACTGCTCACATCACCCGTGTTGTTTTATGACCTAACTCTGGAAGCAACCAAAGTGCCTCCACTGAGGTCTTGGCTGATAGTAGGAAACTGTATCTGGTTTTAGGACTCCCATCTTTTTTGAATACCCAGCATTTAAAGCCTCTTCCTAGCCGGGCACAGTGGCTCGCATGTGTAATCCCAGCATTTTGGGAGGCTGAGGTGGGCGGATCACCTGAAGTCAGGAGTTCAAGACCAGCCTGGCCAACATGGTGAAACCCCATCTCTACTAAAAACACAAAACAGTAGCTGGGCGTGGTGGCCCATGCCTGTAATCCCAGCTACTCAGGAGGCTGAGGCAGGAGAATCGCTTGAACCCAGGAGGTGGTGAGCCAAGATCACCACCATTGCACTCCAGCCTGGGCAACAAGAGCAAAACTCCATCTCAAAAAAAAAAGCCTCTTCCTATGTTTGAAGACATTTTCACTAGAGAATATCTGTCACCAAAATATCCTGAACTTGGAGGTGGGCACAATGATATGAGGCTTTGGTGTATCCCTCTTTGGGGAGGGGATCGCAGATTGCAAATGTTTTGGCTAGAGAGAGTTGTGTTAGGTTAGATGGGATCAGGTACACACATTTAAATAAAGTAAAACCTAATAATGGGGAAGAAGTCAAGTTAATAATGGGGGAAACGAGGGTGGACTGCCGGAATGGAAACCTTTTTCTCTTTTTCCTTTGAGACAGGGTCTGCCCTGTCACCCAGTCTGGAATGCAGTGGTGCTATCATGCTCATTGCAATCTCGAACTCCTGGACTCAAGTGATCTTCCCGTCTCAGCCTCCCAAGTAGCTGGAACCACACACCAGCAAGGCTGGCTAATTTTTTGTAGAGACGGAGTTTTGCTATATCGCTAAGGCTGGTCTCGAACTCCTGGGCTCAAATGATCCTCCCACCTCAGCCTCCCAAATCTATGGCTGTAGATATGACAGGCATGAACCACTGGCCCAGACTATTTTTCTTTTTTCTTGCTGTTGACCAAATTAGCTACCGTCCTGTAAATGACAAATCACCCAGCTTATCAGTGTTGGGGGGAAGCAGAGCCCTCACTTCCTAACCTCTCCCATAGCTGGGGTGCAGGCACCTGACCTGGGCTGTCTCTCCCAGACTCTATTCTTATCCCAGCTTGGAATCAGACAATTGACACAAACAGGCAGGGACTGTAAGCCTCTTATGGGTTTTGCAGCAGCGCCGTATGAGAGGTTTCTGGCTAAGCAGCTATGACCCTCATCCTCCAGGGCTCTTAAAGGAGAGAAGTCTTTTGTAAATCAATCACCAAGGCTGGATTTCTGTGCTTTGTGACTAAGAACCCAGACTACTGGAGCAGGAAAATAGCGTGCCACTTCCTCCAGGTGTCCTTCCCGGGTTATCTCTAATGGGTCTTGGTACTTCCTGACCTCTCCTTATGAAGACAACAGGGCCCATCCCTCCTCAATCTTTCATCTCATCCTAGCTTCTTGCCCTCCTCCAAATGAGAGATTACGTCTTGCTTGGAATCTAATTCCCTGCTCCAAGGGACCAGCCTCCCATTGTGTTGCATCTTCTAGTTCTGTTCAGGGTCTTCTGAGCAGGATGCAGATTCTTGTTCCTGGAGATAAAGTCCACAGTCACTTCTCTGGAGTTTATACCAGCTTCGCAGAAGCAAAAGCCAGGTCCAAACAGTAGCTTTGTTTGCTTGTTTTGTTTTGTTTTTGAGACAGGGTCTCACTGTTGCCCAGTCTGGAGTGCAGTGGCACGATCACAGCTCACTATAACCTTGATCTCCTGGGCTCAAGTGATCTTCCCACCTCAGTCTCCTGAGTAGCTGGGACTACAGGGGTGCGCCACCAGACCAAGCTAATTTTTTAAAAAAATTTTTTGCAAAGACAGGGATTTCACTCTGTAGCCTAGGCTGATCTGGTATTCCTGAGCTCAAGCGATCCTCTCACCTCAAACTTCCCAAAGTGTTGGGATTACAGGTGTGAACCAATGCACCCAGCCCTTAAACAGTACTTTTTAATGGTTGCAGGGAATTTATTGGAATGAGGGCACCATCGTTTGCTCATTGTTAAAGATATTGTTCTTCAGCCAGGTGCAGTGGCTCATGCTTGTAATCCTACCACTTTGGGAGGCGGATCATGAGGTCAGGGGTTCAAGACCAGCCGGACCAACAAGGTAAAACCTTGTCTCTACTTAAAAATACAAAAATTAGCCAGGTGTGGTGGCATGCACCTGTAATCCCAGGTACTGGAAGCTACTTGGAAGGCTGAGGCAGGAGAATCACTTGAACCCAGGAGGTGGAGGTGGAGGTGAGCCGAGAGCATGCCATTGCACTCCAGCCTGGACAACAGGGCGAGACTCCACCTCAAAAAAAAAAAAAAAAAAGATATTGTTCTTCATATTTTTGTGGAATGTATGTTCCTATTTTTGTTTTTAGAAAGTATGCTGCAATATTTTCATGTATAAAGCTTTGTCTTTGGGGATTTTTTTGTAAGGGGGCATCTTACTATGTTTCCCAGGTTGGTCTCAAACTCCTGGCTTCAAGTAACACTCTTGCCTTAGCCTCAAAAGTGTTGGGATTACAGGCATGAGCCACTGTGCCTGGCCAAAGCTTTGTCTTAAGCTCAGATAATTTCTCAAAATCAAATTTCATTTTTTACCCAAGATTACTGGATCAACATAAAATTTACCGTCCTAACCATTTCCAAGTGTACAGTTGAGCAGCGTTAAGTACACTCACTGCTGTGCAGCCAATCTCCTGAACCCTTGCCATCTTGCAGAACCAAAACTCTATCCCCACTAAACACTCCCTTCTCCATCTCCTCTTCTGGCCACTGGCCCCGACTAGTCTGCTTTCTATGAATTTGATTCTAGGAACGTCATGTGACTGCAATCACACAGGATGTGTCCTTTTGTGACAGGCTTATTTCACTCAGCATCGTGTCATCAACGTTCATCAGTGCTGTGGCATGTGTCAGAATTCCTTCCTTTGTAAGGCTAACAGTCCACTATGTGTGTGCACCAAACTTGCTAATTGCTAATTCATCTTGCTAATTCATCCGTTGATGAACAGCTGGGTTGCCGCCAGAATTTTTATTTATTTGTTTTTTATTATTAGTTTTTTGAGACCGAGTCTCGATCTGTCACCCAGGCTAGAGAGCAGTGGCACGATCTTGACTCACTGCAACCTTGCCTTCCGGGTTCAAGCGATTCTCCTGCCTCAGCCTGCCAAGTAGCTGGAATTACAGCACCACCATGCCTGGCTAATTTTTGTATTTTTAGTAGAGATGGGGTTTCACCATATTGGCCAGACTGGTCTCAAACTCCTGGCCTCGGGTGGTCCGCCCGCCTCGGCCTCCCAAAGTGTTGGGATTACAGGCGTGAGCCACCACGCCCAGCCTCTAATTTTTTGAGACGGAGTTTCGCTCTTGTTGCCCAGGCTGGAGTACAATGGCGCCATCTCGGCTCACCGCAACCTCTGCCTCCCGGGTTCAAGCCATTCTCCTGCCTCAGCCTCCCGAGTAGCTGAGGCTACGGGTGCGCACCACCACACCCAGCTAATTTTTTCTTTTCTTTTCTTTTCTTTTGGTATTTTTTGGTAGAAATGGGTTTCTCCATGTTAGCCAGGCTGGTCTCAAACTCCGGACCTCAGGTGATCCAGCCTCCCAAAGTGCTGGGATTACAGGCGTGAGCCACCGCGCCCGGCCTATAATTTTTTTAAACAACGTATTTAGCCAAGTGTCTCTCCACTGCCACGCGTGGAAACCAATGCACATTTGCGATGCTTTCCGGTAGGAGCGGCGGCCGCCTGAGGCTCTTCCAGCTGTTGGGCTCTCGCCAGCGCCACCTGCGGCTGCTTTGCAGAATTGCTCCTGGGGCTAAACTCGGTTACATTTCCACCCCTCCGGAAAGTCAGATGTTTGGGTGCTGGGATTGCCCCGCCTGACTAACTGCTAGACAAGCACAATTTTTTTTTATTTTTTTTGAGACGGAGTCTCACTCTAGCCTTCGCTGGAGTGCAGTGGCTCAATCTCAGCTCACTGCAACCCCTCCTCCCGGGTTTAAGCAATTCTCCTGCCTCAGCCTCCCGAGTAAGCTGGGACTACAGGCCGGTGCCAACACACCTCACTAATTTTTTTAAATTTAGTAGAGACGGGGTTTCACCATGTTGCCCAGGGTGGTCTCAAATTCCTGAACTCAGGCGATCCACCCGCCTCAGCCTCCCAAAGAGCTGGGATTACAGGTGTGAGCCACCGGGCCTGGCCAACAATTCTGAATTAAAATTGGAAACTTACAGAAACAACAAACTTATGGAAAAGTCAGAAGTATAGTACAAGGAACTATTTTTCTGAATTATTTAAGAATACGCAGCGGCGTGTGGTGGCTCACGCCTGTAATTCCAGCACTTTAGGAGGCTGAGGCAGGTGGATAGCCTGAAGTCAGGAGTTCAAGACTAGCCTGAGCAACATAGTGAAACCCCGTCTCTACTAAAAATACAAAACATTAGCTGGGCGTGGTGGCAGGCGCCTATAATCCCAGCTACTCAGGAGGCTGAGGCAGGAGAATCACTTGAACTGGGGAGGCAGAGGTTGCAGTGAGCCAAGATGATGGCATTGCACTCCAGCCTGGGCAACAGGAGCAAAACTCCCTCTCAAAAAAAAGAATTAAGCTGATGCACCACCCCTGAATGCATTAGTGTGTAACTCCTCACACAAGAAGATTCTCTATATAACCACAATGCTACCATCGAAGTTAGAAAATTAACACCAATACATCACTACCATCAAATCTTAAACCCTCATTCAAGTTTGCCAGTTGTTCTAATAATGTCTTTTATAAAACAAAAAAATGACTTTTACAGCAAAAATAAAAACATTTTTTGCATTTCGTTGACAAATCTCCTTGGTCTTCTTTAATCAGGTACAATTCCTCAGTCTTTCCCAGACTTTTATGACTTTGACACTTTTGAAGATCACAGGCTTCCATTATGTAGAATTTCCTTCAGTTGAAATTTGTCTGATGTTTCCTTATGATTCAGCCCAGCTCACGTATCTTTGGCAAGAATTCTCTTGGAAGTGATGCGGGGTTCTACTCACTGCATCGTATCAGACGGTGCGAAGTTTTCATTTGTTCCATTGCTGATCGTGTTTACTTTGATCACTTCAGATGGTGCTTGAAGAAACAGCCAATACCAGAACCGGGACAAGGAAAGCACAAGATGTATCCAGAGCATCTATCTGGCTGTGACACAAAGCCAGGGTGCGGTCAAAGAGTAACTGGAATATGTCAAAGACACAGCAGCCAGCTTGAATGGGCTCCCACCGGTCAAATCAAAGGCTTCTCCACTACAGAGTTATTTTGTTCACTTTTTAATAATACTTTTTTTTTTTTTTTGAGAGTGAGTCTCTGTCACTCAGGCTGGAGTGCAATGGTGTAATCTTGGCTCACTGCAACCTCCACTTCCCGGGTTCAAGCAATTCTCCTGCCTCAGCCTCCTGAGTAGCTGGGATTACAGGCACGCGCCACCATGCCCGGCTAATTTTTGTATTTTTAGTAGAGATGGGGTTTCACTATGTTGGCCAGGCTGGTCTCCAACTCCTGACCTTAAGTGATCTATCTGCCTCGGCCTCCCAAAGTGCTAGGAATACAGGCTGAGCCACCATGCCTGGCCGCTTTTTAATAAATATTTTTAGAGACGAATTTTGGAACTATGTATATATTCTGTTCCTCATCAAGCATTTGATTTTTTCATGTATTCATATTTATTTGTGAACTCCTGGTTCGCCATATTATTCAGTGGGTTGTACTTGTTACTAGCATTATTTGTTCTGATGCTCAAATTGTCACTGATCTGATCAATGGGAGCCCATTTCAGCTGGCTTCTATTACCCTCTGATATGTTCCCAACATTCTCTGAACACATCCTTGCCTTCTGTCATCGCAAGATGTTCAGGACATATCTTGCACTTTGCTGGCCCTAGCTCTGGAACTGGCCATTTCTCCAAGCAGCCCTAGTTTCTTTTAGTGGAAAATGCTATTTAGAAGCCAAGATCTGGAAGCTAGGTGTGCTCACTGTTACTGAAGTATCACTGCTCACAGCCTCTCTTAATGGAAAGTAGGGCATATTTGTAAGTATATACATAACTTTAGATAGCTACACATACTTATAGTTCTATATCTTACAGATATCTAAAGAGTGTAGCTGGGTGCGGTGGCTCACGCCTGTAATCCCAGCACTTTGGGAGGCCGAGGTAGGTGGATCACGAGGTCAAGGTATTGAGACCATCCTGGCCAAATGGTGAAACCCTGTCTCTACCAAAAATACAAAAATCAGCTGGGCATGGTGGTGTGTTCTTGTAGTCCCAGCTACTTAGGAGGCTGAGGCAGGAGAATCATTTGAACCTGGGAGGCGGAGGTTGCAGTGAGCCAAGATCATGACACTGCACTCCACCTTGGGCAACAAGATCAAGACTCTGTCTCAAAAAAAAAAAAAAAAGTATGTGTGTGTGTGTGTGTGTGAGTGCAACCATAAGATCACACAGAGACTTCCATTTTCAACACAATACGATTGGGTCTATTCTAGTTTTCTTATTTCTCCCCCTCTGCTGGTGCCTGGTCTCCTGCAGAAACCTTTTCCCTGCTCAGGTTCTGAACCCCATACCAGTCTGCCCCCAACACATACACCCTCCTTGCCTCTCAGGCTGAGTCACATGAAGGACTGGCCTCTAAGGATGCCCATCTCCCCTTGCTCAAGCTGCACCAGCTCTCCACATGTGTGCACACTCTATCCATCCCAACTGAGCTCTCATGCCCCAGAATGCCCCCTCGGGAACTCCCTCCTCACCCTACCTGGGCTCTGATTTCCCAGGCTAGATTTCCCTTCCCCCAAACCCACCTCCATATGGATGTCCTGCTCACACTGCTAAAATTTGGTCTGTCCACACTGGAGACCATCCACTGCCAAAAAAAAGAAGGAAAAAAAAAAAAAAAAGGGAAACCATACACACATGGATGCCCTCTTCACCCTGCTCAGAGGACTCTGACCCCCATACCAGGCTCTGAGCCCCTCCTTCCTGCCATGGGGATGCCTTCTCTACCCTTCTTGAGCGCCGAGCCCTGATCTGGGCACCATGGCTTCCCACTCACCAACCAGGACACCTACATCATTCTGTGTGTATGTACACTGTTAATCTTCATTATTTGTAACGTAGTATTTGCAAATTTATCCACTTTCTAAAATTCTTATGTAACCCCAAAATCAGTACTTTTGGCACTTTCCTAATCATGTGCAGACATGTGGAGGGCAGCAAAAAATTTGAGTCATCTGACATTCACACTCCCAGTTGGGGGGAAAACGAGGTGACGCCGCCTTCCTGTTTCAGCTCTCATGCTGTAAACAAGTGTCCTTTCTACGGTCTACTCAGTGCCACATTGTTCTCATTTTGGTACTTCAGGTTGGTTATTTTGCTGTTTAAAATGACTCTCAAGTCTCATACTGAAGCACTGTCTAGTGTGCCTAAGCATAAGGTGGCTGCGATGTGCCTTAAGAAAATATATGTTAGACATGCTTTACTGAGGCATGAGTTACAGTGATGCTGGCTTTGAGTTCAAAATTAACGAATCAATAATATATGGTAACTAAGGTGTCTTTAAACAGAAACGCAAGGTTAAGGTTACGTATTGATCAGTTGATGAAAAATGCAGCCAGGGGCTAGTGGGAACCTAATCCTCTGTCTTCCTTAGGGGTAGTGAAGTATTATAGTATTTGCTAATTCAGTGTTTATGGTGACTTTATATAACTACTGCATATAATGAGAACTGACGGAATGCAAGTATGACACAGGCACAGTTTAAAGAAACTGCAACTGCCTAGCAAACTGCAGCCGAGTGTACCTCAGTATCCACATTCTTTGTGGCTTCACCCAGAACGTGGGCAGTGTTTGGGGGGAGTTGCACATGGAGGCTGTAGAGACTGGGAGACCTTGGCAGAGATAAGCATTAGAGGAAGTTTGCAAAGAGGTGGAAGACAAGTCAGTGGGCAGGAAGGCTGGAACATTCTAAAGTTGAAAATTTGGGAGAGGACCAGGGAGGGCATTTAAATTTAGGGTGACTGAGGAAAACTAGGACGAGACAGCTCTGGAGATGGCAGAAATTCTTGAATATATTGTACCACCTATGCTGAATGCAGGAATATTCTTAGCACTTACATGATTTACCTTGCTCACTGTGTTTCTCCACCACTAGAATGAACCTCAGAGGGCAGAACTTTTGGACTGTCTGCTCAGTGCTGTATCTCTCAGCACCTGGAACAGTGCCTGGTGTATAGTAGGAGCTGAGTTAATATTCATGAAAAAGTAAAAACATCTGTGGAAAAACAACATTTTTTTTACAAGTTTCAAGCAGGGAATTGACAGAACCTAATTCACTCTAGCTGATTTGTGAAGGAGGAGGATTGGAATAAAAGTGAAAGCTGGGGCCGGGCGTGGTGGCTCACACCTGTAATCCCAGCACTCTGGGAGGCTGAGGCAGTCGGATCACCTGAGGTCTGGAGTTCAAGACCAGCCTGGCCAACATATTCAAACCCCATCTCTACTAAAAATAAAAAACTAGTCGGGTGTATTGGCACACGCCTGTAGTCTCAGCTACTCAGGAAGCTGAGGCAGCAGAATCACTTGAACCAGGGAGGCGGAGGTTGCAGTGAGCCGAGATCATACCACTGCACTCCACTGGGCGACAGAGTGAGACTTTGTCTCAAAAAAACACCTTGAAAGCTGGAAGGCCAGCTAGTAGGCTGTCACACTAGTGGCTTGGAGCAGAAAGGAAGGTAGGTGAATCCAAGGTGTATTCTAGGCAGAACCAATATGCTAGTGCTAGAAGGGATGATGAGGGGATTGCTGAGGGCGTGTCAAGAATGACACTGAAGGTTCTGGCTCAGAAAATTCACCTGAGTTATCTGCATTGGTAGCAGACACAGTTAAGTTAATTTATATACTTAATTGGCACTTATTCATTCAATGAGTATTAAGTACCAACCAGGTGTCAGTGAGTCACTGGTCTAAGTGCTAAGATTTCAGCAGTGAATAAAGTCTATGCCCTCAAGGGCACAGACATTCTACAGAGAGAAGTCAGAAAACACATACATCAAGTAGTGGAAAGAAACATAAATACACAGAGTTTAGGGCCGACGAGCTGGAAAATGGCGGCATCCGTAGTCTGCCAGGCCGCTAGCACCCGGGCACAAGTGCTGCTGCACCAGCCGCTCGCCGGCCCTGCTGCGGACGCCAGCCTTGCGGAGGACGGCAACCTTCTCTCAGGCGCTCGTTTGTGCCGGAGACACGGGTTAGCAAACTCAACAACGGCCTGCGTGTGGCCTCGGAGCAGTCCTCCCAGCCCACTTGCACGGTGGGAGTGTGGATTGATGTTGGCAGCCGTTTTGAGACTGAGAAGAACAACAGGCCAGGCTACTTTGTGGAGCATCTGGCTTTCAAGGGAACAAAGAATCGGCCTGGCAGTGCCCGGGAGAAGGAGGTGGAGAGCATAGGGGCCCATCTTAATGCCTACAGCACCTGAGAGCACACAGCTTACTACATCAAAGCGCTGTCCAAGGATCTGCCAAAAGTTGGGGAGATCCTGGGTGACACTGTGCAGAAGTGTAGTCTGGAACTCACAGATCGAGAAGGAACGTGATGCGATCCTGCGGGAGATGCCGGAGAATGATGCCTCTGTGCGAGACATGGTCTTTGACTACCTGCATGCCACAGCATTCCAGGGCACATCTCTAGCCCAGGCTGTGGAGGGGACCAGTGAGAATGTCAGGAAGCTGTCCCGTGCAGACTTGACTGAGTACCTCTGCAGGCATTACAGGGCCCCTCAAATGGTACTGGCAGTGGCGGGAGGAGTGGAGCACCAGCTGCTGTTAGACCTTGCCCAGAAGCACCTCGGTGACATCTCTTGGCAGTACCCAGAGGATGCTGTGCCCACTTTTACTCCATGCCGCTTCACTGGCAGTGAGATCCACCACCATGATGACACTCTACCTTTGGCCCATGTGGCCATTGCAGTAGAGGGTCCTGGCTGGGCCAGCCCAGACAATGTGGCCTTGCAAGTGGCCAATGCCATTATCAGCCACTATGACCGCACTTATGGTGGTGGCGAGCACCTGTCCAGCCCACTGGCTTCAATCAGTGTGGCCAAAAAGCTGTGCCAGAGTTTCCAGACTTTCAACATCTGCTATGCAGAGACGGGCTTGCTGGGTGCACACTTTGTGACCGAATGAAAATCGGTGACTTGATCTATGTGCTGCAAGGCCAGTGGATGCGCCTGTGTACCAGTACCATGGAGAGTGCGGTGGCTCGGGGCAAAAACATCCTCAGAAATGCCCTGGTATCTCAGCTAGACGGCACTACTCCCGTGTGTGAGAACATCAGACGCAGCCTCCTGACCTACGGCCACCGCATTCCCCTGGCTGAATGGGAAAGCTGAATTGTGGAGGTAGATGCCAGTGTGGTGCGTGAGATCTGCTCCAAGTACTTCTATGACCAGTGCCCAGCAGTGGCTGGATATGGCCCCATGGAGCAGCTCACAGACTACAACCGGAACCGTAGCGGCATCTTCTGGCTGCGCTTCTAGGTGGGAAGCCTGTGTAAGCAAGAGGGTGTGGCTGGGGCTCGTGGTCCCTCCAGCACAAATAGCACTCTGGCTCCTTCAACCTATGCCACAGGTGACCATCAATAAAGTCCTCTGCTGAGAAAAAATAAAAAATAAATAAATACACAGAAAATAATCACACATCAGGTAGTAAAAAGAAAAATAAAGGAAGACAGAGAGTAATCGGGGATGGCAGTGCTATTTTAAAGAGTGGCATGGAAAGACCTCTCTGGTATTGCAATGTCTGAGCAGAAACTAGAAAAGTGGCATAGTGAGCCATACGGATATTGGACATTCAAAATATTTTCAGAAAAAAACAAAACTCTGGGATGAAGTAATCAAACAAAACATTATTGAAATCTCAGCCATCACCAGCCAGCCAATGCAAGTGAAGCTTAAAGAATTTGCCCAGTCTTTTGCAAGAAGATATAGAATTTCAGATTTTAGAGCAAAGGGAGTTTAGGCATGACTGGCTCACACATGACAGACCAGTGATTTTCAGAGCTACTAACAGAAACCAACCCAAATTTTCTAGATGACTTCGAAGTTGTTACAACTCCACTGATACATCATTCAATTAAGGGGAAATGTGTAAGTTAAACAGGAAATAAAGACAAAACTCTCTAGGTTTCTATTTTTTCATCACAGCATGGGTTAAGACAATTAGCCCATCACTACAATGCTCTGCCTAAGAGCCAAGGCTCAAAAATGGTTCAGAACACTCTTTAGGGTCTAAACTCGGAGGCAGCTTAGAAAAAAAAATCCCTAGGGTACTAAAGAGATGAAATGCAACCGTATGGATGAATCTAATCTATGGTCAGTTAATTCGAGGGGAAAAACATACATATGCGTAGTATATATGCACACATGTGTAAGTACATAGCACATATATAGTATGTGTGTGTGTGAGTGTGTACGTATAGAACTCAGCTTTTTCACCCCCAAAGCATGTTTTCAAATCCATCAAGTAACTGTAAATAACAGCTTTCTCAATCAAGATCCACAATATCCCAAAGAGCAGCTGCTGGAGTTTAGAAAATATGGAACAACCCAGCTACTATGTATTAACACATCAACATGAATAAGAAAAAAAATTATTGCGTGTTGCAAGCCACTAAGGCTTTGGGGTGAACTGTTAACAGCAGTTTAGTCTAGTTGACTGATACAGAAAGACAACAAGTCTTGGCTCCAGAAAAGCCTAGCTGGTCTTTCCATTCTGCCCCAGTTCCGGCCCTCACTTCCCAGCTCCACTTGTGCACCAGCCCAGCCCCTACCTTCTAGCCTACACTCAAACCATATCCAGCCTGGAGTAATCTTTCTAAACTACAGATGTGACAGCCATTCCCCTCATTATCAAAAATTATGGCTCCCCAGCTGTACTTGTTTTTACTGAAGAACCCAGACTGGCAGGCACATGAGCAAGGATCTTAGGTATCACAACAAAGCTAGAAACGGCTTCTGTGACTTTTCTGTGCTCAGGTACTTGATTTTTAAAATGCCTATTTTACACATTAATCCAAAACATGTATTTATTTTATGAATTAGATTTAGTAATTCTGGAAATTGCACCATGCCAACGCTATGGCTCTGAGCATCCATTAGCACTCTGTGAGAAAACATCGCAGGGTGAAGAAACATCACTGAAGTACAGGCTTATGAAGATGAATTAAGTCCTTAACAAAGACCTCTTAGCCCTGCCTGCCGACTTCACTCTCTCCCACAACCCCTCCACACTCCTTAACTTCAGCTCACTGGCCATCTCCCCAGTGCTGCAACTCGAAAGGCTTCTGCTCACTGTGATCCCTGTGCCTCATATGCCTTCACTCATTTCTACTTTTCAGGCCCACTAAGTCACCTGCTCTGAATTTGCACACTCCCCCATGCAGAGGTGACTCCCTCCTCAGGGCTCCCACAAGACACCCACGCTCTATCCGCAGTTCCTTGTTTCCGTTTCTGTCCCACACCTTCGCCCCATCCATCTCTTACCTTTACAGGTAGGATACGAAGCAAGTCACATTCCCACTGGGTGACTAAACACACGTCTGCTGCTGAAAAGTAGGGACTGGACCCAGAGGATGGCCAAAAGGTTTTCTCTTCAGAACTGGGTGTTCTGTCAGCTCATCTCCATAGCATCTTCCAGAGATAATTCTCCCTCAGTTAAAGGCTTACCAAGAGCCTTTAACTACAAGCAGTTCAACCCCATTTGATGACAATGAAGAACAACCATTTCAAAAAAATTTATTTATGATTCTTTTGTTAACACCACACAGGAGGGGCTTCGGTCATGTGAATGAAAAATTTATTTCTTAAAAAAGGCTTTTGAGGTCTTTGTTTTTCAAGGCAAATTAACACTTGTTATATGATTGACTTTGACCTCCAATCTGACAGGTCTACTGTCCTGATGAACTGGAAGAGACTTTCCAGGCCCTGAGAATGTCTTTTCCTTTCTCCAGTCTCTCAAAGCTCTTTGTAGACTGTCTCTTCAGTGCCATTCTCTGAAGGCCCTGTAACGTGTGAGGGTATTACAACAGTCCATACTCACTGCCTTGTCATGTAAGGTCAGCTATGTCGTCTAAATCAACTTACCTGACAGATTACACAATATACATCAGACAATGTGCCACCAAACATAGCTCTCCTCTTTCGTCTCACAGAGGAACGAAAGTTCCAAAATATGTACAAAACCACTTCCATCTCCAACTGTCTTCTCGGTCTTCCCAGCTTTATGCAAAGCAGTCTCATTAATACATTCCTCACGAGGCTCAACCAAGTAGTGCAGTGCCTTCCACTGCACCTCTAAAGTTGGAAGATTCTGATCCCAAGTCTTGACGTGTTCCAAAAAACAATCAGGTCACAAAGGTAACAGCAAAATACAAGGCCATGCCCACATTTCAAAAGCACAGCAAAGTAACAAGAATAAACGTGACCGCAAAAACAACTTTTGATTGAGCCCCGTTTCTCTTACAACAGGATTTCTCCCACGAAAGTTATCCTTCCAGAACCAAATACATTTGATGATGTAAACCTATATCGAGGTTATCAATCACTGACCATAAGGGAGACTATTACATGGGGGTGAAAAATATACAGAAACAAAACAGAGAAGATGACAGGCTGTTTCCTCAGTGTCAGTTCATCCTTACCAGTTGACTATAGTGCTCAACTGTGAACCTAAAGCACAATTGAGAGAAATTTACCATGAAAAGTTCCATACCCTGATGTTAACCACTCAGAAGAATCCCACTTCTTTGAGACAGGGTCTTCTGACATACCTGCCTCATAGAACAATCTGGAAATTTGAGGTAATGTCCTCTGGCTTTACTCTTTCTTTCTCTTTCCCTGCGTTCTCACCCTGCGTTCCATTTTGCTCTACGGCCTAGGTTTTCTTTGGCTTTCCCCAAACTCCCTTAATGCCTAGACAAGTCTACTGGCGACCGACCTATTAGAATTGACTTTCATGTTTCACAAACCCGAAGTTACTTTTATTTTTCTCTATCAGTGTGGGAGGGAGAGGCCATAAAAAAACAGTATACTAACACCTAACAAAACCAGCACGCATTCTTTCCTCTTGACGCCAACTTCGTTCCCAATGCTCAATTTTTGATGCAATAAAACGGGGGGTGCAGGTCTAGGATATAACTTTTGACAGGGCGCGGCTTCACACCATGCTTAGGGCGACTACTGAGTCCCATCCAAGCTCCCGCTAGTTTCGGACCTTACCACCGACCTCCTCCTTCAAGAAGACTCACTTCTCTCTATTCGCCAGACGAGCTCGACCAGCATCTGTGCCATCTTCGCGATCTCCTTGGCCTTCTCCTCGGCCTTCTCGCACAACTCCGACACTCTCTCGTCGGCTTCGCCACTGGGGCGCTGCACCTGGTTGAGGGCGCTCTCCTCCGAGGCCTCCACCTGCGTTTTGATCTGGATGAGCATGTTGTCCATCTCCCACAGCTTGCTCCTGGTGCGCAGGTACGCCCGCCCGTGCTCGCGTATCAGGGACGCGATGTCCTCGCGCATCTCGTTGATGACCGGGAGCAGGAACTGCTCGAAATCCTCCTCGGGCTCCAGCACCTCCACCTCCTCCGGCGCTTCCACCTCGTCGACGTCCAGGGGCCGCATCTCCTCCTGCCGCTTCTTTAAGACCGCTGTAGTGACGTTCTCCTTACCGGACCCCCCCGGGGACTGCAGATCTGGAGTTACTGCTGGAGTCTAAGCGACCCACACGCTTTGTCCGTAGTACTCCCGAATTATCTTTAATTTTTTTCTTCCTTTTAATTGTAAGCCTTTCCCCTCAGAGCTCTGTGGGAAGAAACGCCGTGGATGGACACAGCGCAGCGGCCAACAAAATGGAGAAGCAGCCGCAACTCGCTCTCCGCCTGTTTGCGGCCCTTTCACGACAGGGCCGGGCCACTTTACGGTCACGCCTGACGCAGGACCAGGTAGCGGGCGGGAGCGCCCTCTTCACCAGCTGCTTCCCAGTGCTCCGCTTCGCTTTCTTCTCTAAAAATTAGATCGCTGGCGGCAGGTTTGTTCGCGACTTCCTCGGAAGCCTCCCTTCAGAGGGCTTTTACTTTTATAATTTTTTTAAGTAAAAGTGACCCCCCCCATCCCTCTATTTGAATAAGACTGGCTGGCGTTCACAGCCCTTGCTATCTAAACATGCACAAGCTTGGAATAATTTATATGAAATTCGCTTGGCCCTCACAACGAACCTATAAGAGAGTTAAAAATCAGGCCAAAAGTCGTGATTTGAGCCCAAAGCAATGTCTGTCCACAGTCTCTGCTCGCTGTTCCAGAACAGAGCACGTCCCTTGTTCTCCCCACCCCTGGCTCATGCTTTTTTTCTCGGGGGGCGGGGGAATTTCTCTCTCTCTGCCTTGGGTGGCTCTGGCCTGTGGTTTTTAGGCTCTCTTCAACAGTCTGTAAGCTTCTCAAGGTAAAGGGCCACTTCTGTTTCAGTTCTGCCCTCCGCCCTTCCTATCAGCCTAGCGTCAAGCAAAGCCTTAGGGGATGCTTTAGAGAGGGGAATTCTCTAGTACATAAGTGCCTCTGCCAGACTGGAGGCTGTTTGGGGATGGGTTCTGGACTTGGTCACCTTTATGTACCTACCACACACAGGACCTGAAAGTCAGCAGGGGCCTAGTAAATGTGGCTTTGATCATCAATATATTTTGATCACCAACCTAATGCTTTTGTGGAATAGAAGAAGTCTATTGCAAGGCTTAGTCACCCAGTGCCACACTAGTAGTAATATGAGCGTGTGTAGAGGGGGGACCCTTCTTGCACAAGTGCCATAAATCAGAGCTTCAGTTTTCCAGTCTCATAAAGACCAATGGCCCCAGCCTGAATGTCTGTCAGTGGGAAGAGGCATTTGTAAGATGATGTGTGTGAACCACTTTTGCAACCACCAATGTTCTAGCAGACGTTCATCAAAAGAACATTAAGAGAGAAAGAGCAAGACACTGAAAAAAGGATATTTTCAATAGCTATATCTGGCAAAGGACTCACATGCAGAATATATTGAGAACTCCTAGAGATCAACAAGAAAAAACCTTTTAAAATGGACAAAAGACAAAAGCTGGCATTTAACAAAAGAGAATATCCAAATGGCCAATAAGTATGTGAAAATGTGTTCAACGTCACAATTCAGCAGGGAAATGCAAATTAAAACCACAATGAGGAAGCACTAGAATGACTAAAATTTAAAGTGCTGACAATACCAAGCATTGGGGAAGATGCTGAACAACTGGAACACATTCTTGATGGATGTCTTAGTCTACTCTGGACACCATAACTAAACACCATAGGCTGGGTGGCTTAAACACAGACATTTATCTTCTCACAGTTCTGGAGGCCAGAAGTCCATAATTAAGATGCCAACAAATTTGGTTTCTGGAGGTGAGGGCCCTTTTCCTGAACTGCGGACAGTCACCTTCTTGCTGCAGTCCTTACAGGATCTCTTCTTTGTGCATGCAGTGTTGGGAGGTACAGAAAGGAGGGCTCTCTTGTGTCTTTTCTTATAAGAACATGAAGCTATGGGCCCATATCCAACCCTATGACCTTGTTTAACCTTGCTTACTTCTTTACTCCAAGTACAGCCAACTGGGGTTGAGGGCTTCAATATCAAAATCTTGGGGGACACATATATTCAGCCCATAATAATGGGAATGTAAGTTGTTACAACAATTTTAGAAAACTATTTGGCAGTATCTACCAAGATTAGACATACACCAACCCTATGTTCTAGCAAATTGATGCCTTGGTATACACTCAAGAGAGCTTGAGTGCGATTGTTTATAAAAGTACACATGCAAGAATATTCACAGCAGCTTTATTACAATAGCCCCAAAGTTAAAAGCACCCAAATGTTCATCAGCAGGAGAATAAATAAATAAGATGAATCAGTGGTAGCATATTCCTTCAATGGTTTATTACTGCATAACAAGTTACCCCAAAATTTAGCAGCTTAAAACAACATTTATCATCTGTCTTAGTGCATTTGGACTGCTGTGACAAAATACCATAAGGTGGGTAGCTGATAAAAGAAATTTATTTCTCACAGTTCTGGGGGATGGGAAGTTCAAGATCAAAGTACTGGTAGATTCTGTCTGGTGAGGGCTAGTATTTTGGTTCATAAATGTTCCTTCTTGCTGTGTCCTCACATGATGGAGGGAGCAAGGGGTCTCTCTTATACATCTTTTTTTTTTTATCTTTTGGAGACGGAGTTTCAATCTTGTCGCCCAGGCTGAAATGCAATGGCTCAATCTCTGCTCACTGAAACCTCTGCTTCACAGATTCAAGCGATTCTCCTACCTCAGCCTCCTGAGTAGCTGGGGTTGCAGGCACCCACCACCCATGCCCAGCTAATTTTTGTATTATTAGTAGAGACAGGGTTTCACCATGTTGGCCAAGCTGGTCTCAAACTCCTGACCTCAGGTGATTCACCCACCTTGGCCTCCCAAAGTGCTGGGATTACAGGTGTGAAGACACATCACCTGGCCCTCTTTTACATCTTTTGTGTATTTATAGACAAAGTCTTTCTCTTTTCTTCAGGCTAAAGTGCAGTGAATGAGCGTAGCTCACTGCCTCAAATTCCTTAGCTCAAGTGATCCTCCAGCCTCCACCTCCCGAGTAGCTGGGACTACGAACACGTGCCACCATACCCAGCTTAAAAAATTTCTTTTTTTTTATAGAGACGGGGTTCTTACAGTGTTGCCCAGGCTGGTCTCAAACTCCTGGCCTCAAACAGTTCTCCTGTCTCTGCCTCCCAGTGTTGGGAGTAGAGGCATAAGCCACTGCAGCTGGCCTTATATCCTTTAAAAGAGTACTAGTTACATTCATGAGGGCTCTGACCCCATGACCAAATGACTTCCCAAAGACCCCATCTCTTGATATCATCGCTGTTAGGCTGTTCTCACATTGCTATAAAGAAATAACTGAGACTGGGTAACTTATGAAGAAAAAAGGCTTAACTGGCTAAGGGTTCTGCAGGCTGTATAGGAAGCATGGTGCTGGCATCTGCTTGGCTTCTGGGGAGGCCTCAGGAAACTTACAATCACGGCAGAAGGCAAAGGGAGAGCAGGCATGTCACATGACCAGAGCAGGAACAGGAGGTGGGAGAAGGTGCCACACACTTTACATGACTAGATCTCAGAAGAACTCACTCATCACAGGAACAGCACAAAGGGGATGGTGCTAAACCATTCATGAGAAATCTGTCCCCATGATCCAGTCACCTCCCACCAGGCCCCAGCTCCAACACTGGGGACTACATGTCAACATGAGCTTTGGGCGGGACATCCAAACCATATCAATCACCTTGCGGGGTAGAATTTAAACGTATGAATTTGGATCTGGGTACACAAGCATCCAGACCATAGCATTAGCTTATGTAGTTTCAGTTTAGTATCTTATGTGAGGTTGCAGTTAAAATGTTAGCTGGGGCTGCAGTCATATGTGAGTTGGAATGAGGCTGCAGCATCCACTTCCAAGATGGCTTACTCATGCGGTTGTTGGAAAGAGACTGTTTTTCCCTAGCTGTTGGTCTCAGCTCCTTGCTATGTGGGCTTCTCCATAGAGCTGCTCACAACAAGGCAGCTGGTTTTCCCCAGAGCAAGTGGTTTGTGAACCCCAAATATCTGAGAAATGTCTCAGTCAATTTAGAAAGTTGATTTTCCCAAGGATGAGTGACCGTGACCCAGCCTCAGGAGGTCCTGATGACACGTGCCCAAGGTGGCCAGGGCACAGCTTGGTTTTATACATTTTAGGGAGACATGAGACATCAATCAACATATGTAAGATGAACATTGGATTTGTCCAGAAAGGTGGGGTAACTGGAAGCAAAGGCAGGGCGACTCAAAGGTGGCAGGGGGCGGGCGGGGGCTTCCAGGCCTTGGGTAGATAGGAGACAAATGGGTGCATTCTTTTGAGCTGCTTTCTTTTTTTCATCACCCAGGCTGGAGTGCAGCGGCATGATCTCAGCCCACTGCTACCTCTGTCTCCCAGGTTCAAGCAATTCTCCTGCCTCAGCCTCCCAAGTAGCTGGCATTACAGGTGTGTACCACCATGCCCAGCTAATTTTTGTATTTGTAGTAGACATGGGGTTTCACCATGTTGGCCAGGCTGGTCTTGAACTCCTGACCTCAAATGATCCACCCACCTAGGCCTGGGATTACAGGCCTGAGCTACCACACCTGGCCCTTTTGAGTTTCTGACTAGCCTCTCCAAAGAAGGCAATCAGATATGCATTTATGGCATGAGTAAGCAGAGGAGTGAATTTGAATAGAATGTAAGGCAGGTTTGCCCTAAGCAGTTCCCAGCTTGACTTCTCTTTTAGCTTAGTGATTGTAGGGCCCCAAGATTTATTTTCCTTTCACAGGTTGGAGGGAAAGAGTTGCCACCCTACCTTTTATAAATTAATCTCCAAATCATGCATCATCACTTCTGTCTTTTTCAGTTTATTATGAGCTAGTCAAGTCACTAAGTCTAGCCCATATTCAACAGGAGGCAATACACAAGAGTGAGAATAAAGGAGGAAAAAAATCACTGGGAGTCATCTTGAAGGCTGGCTAGCAATCACAGTTTGCTCTATGACTACAATTACTCATGCCATTTTAACATACTAACCACACTCCCCTCCATCCAAGTTCCCCAAAAGTTACATTTTAAAAAATCTCGGGCCGGGCGCGGTGGCTCAAGCCTGTAATCCCAGCACTTTGGGAGGCCGAGGCGGGTGGATCACGAGGTCAAGAGATCGAGACCATCCTGGTCAACATGGTGAAACCCCGTCTCTACTAAAAATACAAAAAATTAGCTGGGCATGGTGGCGCGTGCCTGTAATCCCAGCTACTCAGGAGGCTGAGGCAGGAGAATTGCCTGAACCCGGGAGGCGGAGGTTGCGGTGAGCCGAGATCGCACCATT